TTGTGGTATAATTTAGTTAGTGAGATTTGAGAATTTTACGAATTGTGTGATGCTTTTAATATTTAAGAGTAAATTCACTCCCATATTTTATTATATTGTGTGATGATAATAACACTTTGGGATTGGACAGGGATTTTTTGTTTTACTCTGGACAGGGACTAAACAGGGATTTTAGATTTTTTTTAGCTCGTCTCGTGAATGCCAAAAATAAAAATAAAAATAAATAATAATTATAATAATAATATTTTTATTAAAAGATCGTCGTTTTAACGGTATTAAGTAAGAATTAATTTGAGTGTGCACAATGTGTGCCTGCTTGATTAATTAGGAGTAAGGATGTCCCCAAATTCTTTCTGGAAAAAAGGAGAAAAACTCAAAAAACTACTCATCTGTTAAAAAATGATGGTCTAGTTCAGTATTATCATTAAAAATCCAAACTAGACAATCATTTTAAGATAGAGTAAATTATACAGTACCTAAAGACCTAATATTTAATGCATTATAATACTGCAAATGAATGGGAGAGACCACTGAAGCATTAGTTTCAATCTTTGGTACAAGAAGCATATTTTGCAGTGCTATTCTTAATAAAAAGTAGTGGTCCTTCAATCCCCTTTGAAATCAGAAGAAATCATTATAATTAAGGTGCTGATCGATCTACGTACGTTTTGTTTTCAATACCTACGTGTATACTGATCACTTTTCTTTTCCACCTTTTTAACTGGAATTTTTTTTTTTTACCTTTCCAAAAAAAACTGGAAAAATTTTATGATCACAAATACTACTAGTCAGGAAGTTGGATTCATTTTTTTTCTCTCTTCTCCCACTTGACGATCATCATCGATCCACGAAGTGCTTTGCTACCGCGCCTGCATGTCTTGGCCCTTTCATCCTTCTGAAGGGTTTGATCATCATATCATATCATATACAACAAATATTAAAAAAAAAGGTCCTCTCCCTTCTTCTCTGCTCATATTAATGTGCCAAACTGCCTATTGGCTATGGCATGCCCACGCATAACCACACACAAAAAAACACGCCGATTCGTCATATATTACAAGTTGGTACGTACTAATAAGGAGAAAATCTCTGGACTTTAAAGAGACAGCCCTCCAAAAAAGAAAAGAAAAAAGAAAAAAGGGTTTAATGACACGTTCCACAAGAGTTGGAGAGAACTATAAGAAAGTGATGATCAATACCCACCAGATGGGGAAGGAGATAGTATATATGTTTTTGGAATTGACTTGTGAACAAGTGATCAATGGGGTTTTGGGGTCACCTTACCCTTCTAGTTCTATCACCCCTAATAGTGTATTGTGTAATATACCCTGTCAAAATCGGGCATGTTATTATGTACGACGAGATTTTTCTTGCATTTTCTTTGCCCTTTTCAGAAGCCTAGATTTCACTTTTATGTATAACTAAGCGCAAAGCTAGCTGTTGTTGATGATGTGCTGCTGATAGAGCACCATGGGTGGTGGTCACTGTGTGACTGCGTGTGTATCTTTTGTTTTTAGAATTTTGATGTATCTTTAATTTTGAGCACCGTGGACTGCTGATAGAGCACCGTGGACTTTAATTTTGATGTATCTTTCTTGTTTTTAGAATAATTGTGACTGCTAATCTATATGTGGTTATGTACTAATAACCAGATTAACCTATCTTTGGAATAGTGGCAAAAGGAAGGGACCACAATTTGTTACACTATTATAGTTAAAACAACCAAGATCTAGCTAGAGCTTTAACCCTTCCTTTTTTTTCCCGATAAAAATTATGTAACTCCGTCCACAAGAGTAACGACACACCCTTTTTCTCCTCTATATATTATACAGTACCTTTCAAATATTGAATCTCATAATTACGTAACCACAATTTTTCATACTTACCATATCACCTAATCCTTTGATCCCACATTGATCTAAAGTTAAACTGATTGCGAAAAAATACCTTGAGTGAACAAGTAGTACGCATGCACTATAGTAAGGAGGAACATTGAGCTATCAAGCAAATAACTATAGCAAGCTAGCTTAGAAATGAAATAAAAGGGTTTGGACCAGGAAGCTGAGAAACAATAAAAGCGATGGATGTACAAACAGTAGATTAAAGGGACGCGTGATGGAAGAAGGGCTAATATATATATATAGCAAAGAGAAGTACGAATCAGGAAAATGGATGGACCAAATATCCATCCATCAGCATGTGCATTATATCTGTGCGTGACGTACCTTATACATTATTATTGGCAAGAATTTTGCTTCTAAGAATAAGAAGAAACGTACTGCCCCCAGGTTTGTGACATCAAAGCAAGCCGCCCTCACGTGTAAAATGGTCCCTTCCCCACGGCACTTCCCATGCCGCCCCATGCCATGCACACGCGCCGGCGGCACTTTCCCCCCTCCTCCGGTCAGCTGCCTCCCCCATGAGTCTTCCCGTGCACCGCCTTTTTGACTTTGACAACTTGACTTCTCTCTATTCTATGATGAACTTGACTATCCACCAGCCTATTGTCCAGCTAAATTATTACTGTTTTCGTCTCAAAAATATAGTCCAATTTAAAAAATTAGAATATATGAATTCAACAGATTAATGATTTAAATTAAAACATTAATAGTGTAAAAAGTTAAATAGAATTTTACGGCTACTTATTACTTTTATCATAATTTTTCGATAATATAAAACTCATAAGTTTAATTTTGAGATTTTTAATGTTTAGAATTGGATTGTTTTTCTGGTACATGCATATACAGTACTTTATTGTGAGACTGTTGAGAATATTACTAATGGAATAGTACTATTCTGGGATGTAAAATTAATATTGTAGGACCTGATTGAGTTAGAATTTTTCAGTTGGTACGTCGTAATTTAATTAAAGCTCTCTCTCTTGATGATCATTTTGCATGCAGGTCAAGGTTTGTAATATTGGTTACTACTGTACCGCAGGCTACTGGCAGAGGGGATATCGATCTCTCTGATGGTCCAGTCAATTATTTGTAGGCCATTGTTAATTTGATGGTCCTGTGAGAAGAGATGGGGTTTAATGAGCGCAAGAAAATTCTGGGTCCAAATTTCGTTTATTGAGACGTTACTGTTGGAAATTGCCCATTTCTCTTAGATCTCTCTGTCTTTCTCTTTCAATTGGAGTTTTGCAATGAAATTGACGTTCCTTTGAGAAAACTCGAGGTTTGATTGTAATGTACTGTCACAGGAATCTAGTCGGTCGGCATAATCCCATCTGCCGTCTAATTTTGTGTGTAAATAACACACTCTCAAGCCCTAGATTTCAATTCTATCATTTGAGTTTGTCTCTAATCAATCAAATCTCCAATATCACGACACTTATGTTAACAGGAAGTAATAAATAATATATGTACATTCTCACTAAATTCATCTCAATTTTATATTAATTTTCGCCTTGCTCAACATTTATCAATTGTTGGTAAAAAATAAAAATAAAAGATTATTATTAGCTTTTTAATCACACTAAAAATCAATCCATAAAAAGTACCAATTAATTGAAGCGTGATGTGAAAATGAAATCAACTGAATTAAATGTGTATTATTACTCGTATGAACTAATGTATCACAAAGTCAGTTGTGTGACATGGAATGTAATTACCTGTTGATCCAGTCCCACCTAACTAGCTAGCTAGCTAGATCATTTATATATCATTTCATGGAAATGATCCAGGAAATTTTTTAAGTTCAAGTTGACAAGTGTACAAGTAAAACGAATTTATGTACACGGTTTCCTCAATCTTAAGGTTAAATTGTTGCCTTAGCCTTGTTTGTTTTTCCTCCAAGTTAAGGGATGTGTTCTTATACGTCCTCATATCATGTTCCTTTTCCTTCCTAGTGTGGAGATATATGAAGGGGAAAGAAAAGTAATTGATGGACATTACTCTATATAAGAAAAATAAATAGGTCATAAACCGATTTAAGAAGAGAAACGGAGAAGATGTGCCGGACAAAGGAGAGTTGTCCACGTGTGGGAAATATGACCGGACACCAGACCTAAACAGGTTTATACATGGTTTAACTGCCCCTTTATATATTGGAAGATATATTTGAGGCTGTCACTATGAGGTAATGCACACACAAGTGATATGTAAAATATGAGACATTTGCACCATTCTTTGACTCCAACCTCTTGAATTTTAGGTATGTGTTTGTACAGGAGGAGAATATACACATAATGGAATACTTGTAGTGGGGTAAATTAAATTGTAGAACGAAACCAAAAGGAGGAATATGTAACTAGACGCTATTGTGGTATTCAATCAGAGAGACTACTCAATGAACAAGAATGGTTGTAGTAAATTTAGACGTCCAAAAAAAAAAGAAAAAGGAAATAAACCAGTTGTCTTCTGGAGTCTGGACCGTTAAAAGTTGCTGCTAATTAAAAAGGTGCTATTATGAAAGATGTAGGGAGAAAGGAATCGAAGCTATTTGGGGCCTTAAAACTTGTAACAAGATTCTCAACTTTTTTTTTTTTTGGCACTTTTCAATTCCACCACCGAGTTTTTCCGTCAAGGAGATTTCATGTCATCAAACTTTAGTTTCACCATTTAATTTGTTCGACCTTTAATTCCACATATATATTCTTTATTTTCCGTTGTCAAGTTGCAGGTATATATCAAGTGAAACCTATTTCAATTAATAAGATGCTTCAAAAGTAAAAAACGATAGGGTTCGTAATTGTGCTTTTCATCTTATTTTAAACATGTAATACTTAATTGAACTTGAAAAGACCTTTTTGTTTCCTTAAGTTGATAAGCACCATCAAGCTGGTTTTATAATTTTTTAGACGCTAAGACAAAATGCCAACAAAAGAACCTTGTATAATCATGTTTCTTTCTTAATTCTTCTTTTTATTTCTTCAAATACATAAACAAAGGGACGGAATATTACGATTTTAAAATCTTGGGTTGAATTTGAGGTTCCGCCTATAATTTTCTTTTTTTAAAAAAAAATTGTAAATAAGCAAGACTTTAAAAAAAAATGCGATAGATAAAAATATAATTGCAAAACTTTAACATCATCTTGATGTGGTGCATCAAGTTTAGTAATTAAGGTCTAATACTTGCAATTGCATCAGCAAAAAAAAAAAAAAATTGGAAAAACGAAAAATGCACTAGATCCTATAAAAGAAATAGCAATCTACTTGCCCAAATGTGACTGCCCTAGGCTATCAATTAACCTAATTAAGTCTAGAAATATTTACACACAGTCACACACTAGTCATTTACAAAAGGTCGACGACATGATGCATATGGTTCAACTTGACTGATTGGTTGGCTGGAAAATTCAATGAGAAGTCCTGGATGTGGCTGTGAACTGAACCGCCTTGACTTTCCACTGTTTCTCGATGTCGTCGGAGATCCGCCGGGCGTCCAAGGAGGTACCGAGTAGGCCCCGCTTCGTGAAACCCACGGCGTACAACCCGTTTTGGCCTTTCCATCCATCCGGAAAAGGTCGGCTCGGGAACCCATCTTTAGCCGAGAACAAATCATTTTCCTGCTAATGGCAATTAAAACAACAACAAAAAAAAGAAGGAATAAGTTAAAAAAATTCTACTATATAACAGTATTATGCATTTTCTGCACTAATTTAATTTCATATACTTAGGTGCTCGAGGATAAAATAATATATATTTACCTTCAACCAGGTGGGTACGTTGCTTTTATAACCAGTAGCTAAGATAATTGCATCAAAATTTTCAACCATCCCATCAACAAATTCGACTGCATTACGCATTAATCTCTTTATTCCCCGGACCACCTGCACTTTGTTCGACGAATAATATCGTTAAACACACGATTAGTATAATATAATATTAACATAATAAGTTAGGAATTTTTTTTTTGTCCTTCTAGAAATAAGGAGGATATATATCATTAATATCAATAATTAACTACTATCATCGATCGTCATAATTAACAATTAACGTCAATAATTAACTACTATCATCGATCCTCATAATTAACAAGTAATAACAGTAGAGAATGTTACACGAAAGTATTACAGAATATCATCAAATGCAAAGAAATTAAAGGGTCACATTTTGTGGGTTAGGGATGTGGTGAATCGGAAAGTTATTGGAATATTTACTAAAAAAATGATAGAAAACCTAGTAATCAATAAGCATATTCGTATCAAGTCTCTCACCTTTATATTTCCGGATCTGATCCGGGCAAGCGTCCCAACATCCAACACGGGTGTCTTTCCGGTGATGTTTTTGAGCTCGAGGGGACCAATCTTGGGGCGGGTCAGCCCGAATCGGGCCGTGTTTCCGAGCATGATCCGAGACATTAACAGTAAGATTTGATCCACAACCTGCACCGGCAACCACTTGAGTAACTGCATCGACAGTCCAAAAGTAGATCTTCCCATCATCTCCTGAGGCAAAACGTGCACCTGCAAAACATGTCAAAAAAGTTTTTTTTTTAGAATTGTTATTAAAAAATAAAATTGAAGTACTTCCATCAAGATTTGTGTTTATTTATTCAGTCTTTATTTTTTGGAGTTGCAACTAAGAAAAAAGCAGAACAACTTACACAAAGTGTAAGAATATCAACTGTAAAAGATGCATATGATTTCGACTAAACATGGTGAAGTACAACGCATGCTTTGAAAGTACATATAACCCTACTGTTTGTTTCATAAAAAGAATACTGGTTTGTTTAGTGCTTGCTTATTAATTAATTATACCCAAAAGAAACATTTGCAAAAATAAAAATAATAAAAATAATAAAGGCGATCTTGAAACAGCCTAATAATTCTGCACTACGCCGGACTACTATTTATAGTTGAACCGATAAAAAAGTACGAAACAAATTAATCGTGAAACTACAAAAAATCCCCACTTGATCCCATAACCAATATGGAAAAACATATTCCCTGATAGAATATATATCATATTAAATCTCCTCGAGATTTGTTTTAGCTACTTGTGGATATCTAATCATGATGTCTAGCCAATAACATAAAATAAAAATCTATTGATTTTTTCTTCAATATCTAAATCGATCCCCAAAAAAAAAGAAAGAAAAAAGAGCAGAAGAAATACATACTACTTATAAAATGTTAGACAACATATGAAAATTGATACAAGTTTTATGACTAGTTATCGGAACAAATTCAAGATCCAAGTTCTAAATAATAAATATGATCGTACGTTCCAAAATAAGAGTTCTGTTAAACTGGTGGTTATAACGTAGTATAAAGAGAGTTTGAGGAGGAGTTGACTTACGGAATCCCTGACCACAAGGGATGGGTGAGCATTATGGTTGCAGAGGTCCAAACTAACCTCCATGCCAGAGTTTCCACAACCAACCACCAAAACCGACTTCCCTTGAAAGCAATCACCGCTTCTATAAGCACTGGTATGAATAATTGGACCTAAAAACTCATCCATTCCTTCAAAACCAGGAACCACTTCTTCAGCATTCTCCCCGGTGGCAACAATCAACCATTGACACACATACTCAATTTCCTCCATCACTTTCAACCCTTTACTCCTAACCCTCCAAAACCCGCATTCCTTATCGAATTCGGCCGCCACGACTTCCTGATTAAACGCCGGCTCCAAGTCGAAATGCTTGGCGTATGATTCCAAGTAAGTGATGAAATGTTGCTTTGTGGGGTAAGTAGGGAAATCATTTGGGAATGGCAAAAAGGGCAGCTCACAAAAACTCTTTGGAAGGTGAAGCCTAAGCCTATTGTAAGTTTTGAGCTGCCATAATGAGGCAATGCAATTAGACCTTTCAAGTATTAAGCTTGGGACACCTTTCTCTTTAAGGCAAGCAGCCACAGCTAATCCAGAAGGTCCAGCACCTACTATCACTGGTCCTGGAACCCATAGCCTTCTATTGTTCATCTTGCCTTGATGAACAAAAAGGTCATGAATTCTTTTCCCTTCAATTTCTTCACTTCTAAACTCCATTTACTACTACTACTTCTTATCTCACTGCTTCTTCATACAATATATATAATATGGTTTGATCACTAAGATTGGAAAATGGGTACTATATATATATATATTACTCATGCAAAGTATTTATAAATAAAGGTATGTATATTTTTTTGCTGTTGACCCAAAATAAGTGGACTTGGTGGATGTTGCGAATCGATCTGTAGAGTGTTTAAGGATTAGGCCGAGGTAATGAAAAACATGTTCAAAACCTTATCTGCAACAAATTAAAACCAACGAGGGTATATGGATTAGAGAGAAATCTTAAGATCCTAAATTGTTGGAATGGATTTGGAAGGTCTTATCCAAATCGTGTGGAAATTAACGGCCTTTGTGATGAGTTTTTGAGATTAAATCTCTTTTAGGAATTTTAGGTGGTAAAAATGGATGTTTAGGAGGAGAGAGCGGGAGGGCATGAGAATTCTTCAAAAAAACGAAAGAGAATTTTTATTTAGACTAATAAAGAGACACACTCACTCTAGTGTACTAGAAGATTGACATGAAGACTGAGCAACTGCTATATATAACACTGAATATAACTGAAATTTTTTGAGTGGGAATTTGAATTTAGTTGATTGGTTAAAGTGTGTTTGTATTTATATGTCTTCTATATATATACACGTGGAATGGAACAAACCCTTGGACCCGAAATAGAGATTAGAAATTATTCATAAGTACGTACTACATTATTAGTAATTTTTTAAGAGAAATAATAATACCATAACTTCCTTACATAATCAGTGATTGATGTGACACCTAAAATAATACATATATGACAGTACAATTATTTTGGGGAAGTATTTGTACATGGTATAATACAGTATACTATATAATTGTGCATGTTTTAAAAGTGTTGATATTAAATCAGTCAATTAACCCTTTCACTAGAAACAGAATGACTAGTAGATATAATAAATCAGAATAAACTATTTTCATTCGCTGCGTCGAAATGTTGATTTAATAGAAACTCACCACAATTCCAACTTAAATCCTACCATTCAAAGATTTTATCAAACCTGATCTAGTTCTTCTACAAAACAATTTGGCACTTTTCATATTGTCATCAAATTTGATTTCTTCTCAAAATAATCATCTAATTTCTAGACTGTATATTTTTAATTAACCAACCTCTTCTTCTGTAAAGTATGTCTAGGGTCAGCAAGTAAAGATGCCGCCCAAAAACACGTATATGTACGTGTTATCGAAAACTTTGTTCTGAAACATTCTCGTAGTACGTACAGCGTACTAGTTAGGTCGACTAATTAAGGAAGAATTTTGGAACGGAATAACTCCGTTTGGATCGATAGTCATTGTGTGTGTGTGTGTGGAGATGAATTGACAAAACAACGTATCAAACCCTTTGCATTTAATAAGTTTCCACTGCTACTAGCTAGCTATTTAGTAGTAGTAGTAGTACACAAATGGGGGTGTGTGGTTTTCAATTGGTGATACCGATTGACTGACTCTTTCATCAATGACATTTGTCATCCATGGTGGTGACACCTTTGAATATGATTCTTATTATTCTTCTTATTCAATGCACGCTACTCTGCCGACTAACTCAAATTCGAGTTGATGATCATATTATCTTTAATTGGATATCGACTTATTAAAATTTGAGATCTAATTTCCATTTTATCCTATAAGATGAGAGACCAAAGCGAATCCAGACACCAACCTAAATTACTATTTATATGCTTTGACCTAGGAGTTTTGAATTCTTTTTCTGGAAGAGTAATCTATAGTAGTTTAATTATTGGGTATGAGTCATTAGGGCGGTTTTTGGGACCAGAAAGAATGCTACTAACATTATGTTAGTTACAATCAATTCAAAGGTTCAAGTTCAACAATTCCAACTAGAAGAAGGAGAAGAATAAGAAGATGAATTAGATTCTCCATCAATGCAATCCTGTTGATTGGTCCATCTTACTGAGTAATAATATATGGTCCTAAAATGTCAAGCCAGAGAGGCAGCTAGCTTACAGCAGTACCATGATGGCAGCCTTCATATTATCCCACTTCTTCAAACAAACTATGAAGAAGAATGAATCCCTATATAGCTATCATGCATCATAAAAAAAAAAATTTCACATGATTCCAATCCCATCAACACTTCCCGGCCGTCTGATTTTTTTGGGACTTTCTTATTTTTTTTCCTACACCATCCATATGTGAGCACTTTTCATCATGCATGACCTTGAATTTCCAAAGACTACTTTGGAGGCTTCCATTTTGTTTATGTATAGAGCACATCAAATAGATCTTTTTGTTAAAGCTTTGATTTAAATTTCTTTGGTTTTTGTTCTTTCATATTAGGGGTACTTGTCCACCCCTATGCCCTAATTCTGCCAACTTATAGGAGAAATCATATACACATGATGATATATATGAAGATGTACACATATACCCAATTGTTAACTGTTTATTTGGTCCATATTCATGATGTTATATAACAATGGTGAACATCAAATCATTTTTGGTGAAACAATTGACATTCTAGCTTGGCTTTAGCTGCCAAGCTAGAGTCAGTGTTACAACATTTCCTTAGCCGCTTTTTCTTTTAAAAAATATAAAAGAAAAGAAAAAGTGCTCAAATTATAAGTATCTTGGATTTTCTCTTTTATTCCTGATTATCTCCATGCTAGAAATTAAATATGTTTAGTACTTTACCCTTCAAGAACTTTCCTCATCCGAAATATAATCATTTATTTTAGTGGACCATTTTAGTTTAACAAAATCTATTAATTTCTAAGACGGGAAGGTACACCTCAGAAATTTTTTTGATCTAAGGATAATTGATTATTATTTATATCTTTTATTACTTCCTAGCTATTTGAAGCTTGAAACTTGGCTTATCGATTGATGGTGTCGCGAGATTCCAACTTCGTGGTTAAGATTCGGGGGACTTGAAATTTATACTACATGAGGGAGAAATTTATTCAAGGTGGTGTAATCAACGGGCATATCTTCCGATTTTACTACTGATGGAGAAAAAAAAACACTAAATAGAAATGCCTAAGAATATACTCTTATGATTTTTCTTTTGAGAGCTTGACAACAAAGCTTTCGTAGTCTCCAATCACCTGGGGATTGTATAAACCACTTAGTAACACGAAAATAGTTGGTTGCTTTTGGGTACAGCGGTAAATGAAAATGTAAGGATACTATATATTCTTAGTCATAGGCTTAAAATCTACCTCATGTCACAACATACCACAAAGGCAATGCCCACCAAATGTTTGTTTTTTATACTAATTATGTCCTAACTTGGTTTGCAGGAAAGAAGTCCACTACTTCGACTTTGGAGAATCTCTCTTTTTAACTCACCCTTTCCTGCATTTGGACATAGAACTTGTAACCCAAAACCTTTGGCGTGCTTCTTTGTTGAGTCTATCATGGTAAAGATAAGTTTCTTCGTGTGCTCAACTATGGTGGAATTTTTTGTGTTAATTGATTCTTTTGAGGGGAGGGGTGGACTTTAAATAGATTGAAAGATTCATTTTTTTGAGGCGCCTAAGATTCGAGATAAAAGATTCTTTATACTTTCCAAAACACTATTTAATTATTTGTTACGTGTTTAATCACTTACTAAATTGTTATAGAGTTGTGAATAACAGTTAAATGACACTTATTAAAATTAAGGTGGAGATCGAACGTAGCAGGAGCGTTGTAAGAAGTGATAAAAAGTGATAAAACAACCAGCATAATTGGTGCAACATACATCGTAATAGTGAATGAATGAGAAATGCCAGAGATGGATACTCCTCGAAGCTTGGGTTTATTTAGCCAAGTGGATCTTGAACTGTAAATAGATCAAAACTAATCAGCTTTGCTAATGGAAAGCTCAAAAGGAATGTTTACTGGCGTGGCGGTTTTTCTACTTTCTAATTCTTTTGTTACAAGTAATTAATTTGCTGTTCTTCGTAACTTTTGTACAGCTCAAAATCTTTTGTTACACCAAAACCTACGTGACTGTTATTATCAAACAGCGGGAACATTCACAAGATTTGCTAGTTTTATATTGTGCCCCCCATTAAGCAATTACGTTGACTATTTTCACAAAAATTATCATCTTTTCGAGCTGCGAAAATGGTGGCATCACTAATAAAGTAAACGATGGTTTATGAATTGCATTAAGATCAATGAATGTAGATATCAAACCATCAAAATTTAGGTCCACTTGAATTTATGATCAGCATGTATGATCATGAAGGAATTATTTTTTCCTTGGAGATCGATCGATAATTATAATTATATATATGGGCAACGAGCCAATGATTAAGCAATTAATATCTTCCAATACCCACAACCGTAGATAGATACATCTCGGCTTTCCTCTGCCACCCAATTTCAACAAAACTGAAGTTTTCAGCTCTCATGAAATTTTCAGAAATTCACATGGCGGTGTGGACAACATTCTTACATCAAAGGTTGGAACCATCCCGATTAGTACAAATAAAATGGTATGAATATATATTGTTCATATTTATGGCTTATATAAGTAGTTCTGAAGTACGGACGCATTGGACCAGTTACGGCTGGAGCGAAATTGACTTCAAAAACAACACTGGATCTGCTCGCATTTTCCTTGGTTTTTTATTTTTTTTATTTTTCAAGGAATAAGAATTTTTGTGAAATATTGGTCCATGGAAGATGAGGAAGAAGATATTGTGTGATCATCGGGTCATATGCCCGAAATTGTTACCTTAAGTCCTTTACTGAAAAAGAGAAAGATACCGAAAATAGGGCTAGCGACTCGAGTGAAGTTGTAACAAAATAGCCATTCTCAAAGTTGTTGGTCTTGGATTTATTGATTCTAATCATATTTGGCATATATATGGTGGTTGAGCCTACTCTTTTTTCTTGTTGATGATGAATATTGTTTAGTGAAATAGCTTTGCTTTCTTAGTAGTTGAAGGACTATTTGTATTATTTTTCTCTTGCTTTCCAACCATAAGTGTTTGTATACATTGCTAAGATATTTGTTTTATATTTAAGGTACATGTTTGACCTCATAGATATATACGTATTATACTACATAAAATGGAAAGGACCGTCACTCTGGAGTCTGGTCCATCTATAATCATTTTAGATTTAGGAATTTTTAATTCTGGGATAATCATTGACAATCTGCCATTTACTTTTGTACAGCCTTTTTGAGTCGCTCATGGCCAACTCTAGCCTTTTGAACTACTTAAAGCTACCTAGATCCTCAGTTTTACAATGTTTCTTTGATTCATTGTATGTTATTCTTTATCATGTTATTCTTTTATGTTCTCTTCGTATATATAATAAAAAAGAGATATAATCATTTCGGAGACGGGAATTAGATATACATATATAAAAAAATCCTTTTTAATCTTACCAGCTCCAACGACCAACGTTAATCCTCCAGTGAGTGTTTTTAAATATTTTTATGGTACTATGGCTCTCTGAAGACAAACAAACAATGGAGAGAATAGGGGCCAAAAGGGCAGATCAAAGATGTACATAAAGTCATGAGCCCTAAGATGATGGAAACAGAATCATACTGTTTTCTAACTCCCCGCTAATCATGTTTTCAAACTTTCAGGTGGTCAATCATTAATTTGGCCAACTAGTTTCTAGTAAATGATGTTTTGCGGATGACACGAAGGGCATTCATATATAGTTGTGGAGCTCATAACCTAGAATATGATCAAAATTTTGTCAAGTATTAGCGGAATTTAGCTAGTTAGGGTTACAAGTCATGACATTAATTGAAGACAGATTTTTTTTTTTTTATACACAATTACAAGTACCAAATCTATTACATATGGGGTGAAACCTATGGGGAAGGGATAGTACTATGAACGGGAGACGTACGCACACCTCGATCTGGTACTCAGAAACCTTCGTGACGGGTGTAAGATAACATGCATAATTCAACACACAAAGATGAGTTTAAACCCGAGACTTCCTGGTTAATGCCATGCCCATTTTACCACTTCGGCAATCCCTTATCGGCGAAGATGGATTTATAACTTAGCTTAATTTACTAAGCAAAAAAAAAAGATGGAACATGAATGACTAGTACCACCTTGATGGAAACGTGGTTCGTACACGTAAAGAACACAACGAAGTACGAAAGATAATTTGGTTTGACC